ATTGGGGGAGGGACAGGTATTGGTAACTTCACTCACACGGCGAAACACAACGCTTTGGTTGTTTCACGCCGGTCTTGTATGAGGCCGTGGTATCACTCCGGTCGAGCCGACCCATTCGTGCCGACGCTTGGCTCTCCCACATTTAAATTAGCCGGATTATAATTAGCCGTTGGTAATAATTATTTCTTATCTCGAAACTTATCTATTAACTTCAATATGCCCTTGACTTGATTCGATACACTTTTTTACCAAACGACAATTGTTACAAAGACGCCAACGCATTCGATCAGACCAGTGATTTAATGATCTCTATCGCTTTACTGTCTGTAGATACTTAGGGTTGACGCCTGTCACTTTTAAGTAAGCGCCATTTTGAAATAGATGTCACAAACAAAATTAGACTCAAAGTAGTCCACAGAAAACATGAAATAGCGAGTAACTATTATAAAGACATTTTTGCTGATTGTGTAGTAAAATAATGGTTATTGTCACATAACGCGATAGTGCAGCTTATATACTTTTTTCCTTGCTTATATACTTTTTTCCTTGCTTATATACTTTTTTCCTTGCTTATATACTTTTTTCCTTGCTTTTATACTTTTTCCTTGCTCCTTGCTTATATACTTTTTTCCTTGCTTGCTTGACGTTCAAAAGTGCCTACTGTGGTCTAATTGAAATAAATGATTTTTGACTTTGACGTCTTGTAGAGACGTCCAGACAACGCAAAATTTTGTAATCTGTGCGGTCTTTTATAATAGTTATACAACACCCAATCCATATTCTGTAGCACATACAAGTTCTGTAGGTAATTATGTATAAAAAACCTACGTTCAAATCAATCAATATTCTAGTTCAGAATCGATTAAAGTGGTTTTTTAACATTATTTATTAACATTGAATACCTTAAAACCTAACAAATGCAATTTGTTTTTTGGTAGCCATATTTGTATTGTATATGTAGGTAGGTATGTCGATTGCGCAAAAGTCATTGCTTGATTAAGTGGCACATAAATATCTTAACTACATAATAAATATCCAATTGTTTTTAAAGATAAGTTTCATTACTGAACTGTAGAACTTTTTTAAATACACTATATTGCGCTCAATGATTAGCTATTTATTGAGGGGGGAAAATCATCATACATACTGATTATCATCATAAATAATTATGTGTTCTCCTGGGCGTTTGGGAGCGTCAGACTCTTACTGACTAGAAACCACCTTGTAACTTATTCAGCCTTGAGTCGGACCACGGCACATCGTTGCGCTTGCATCCAAGTAGGCTCCAACCATCTATAATGGCTATTTGAGGCGCACGTCGGGGAATCTTCTACGCTTTTCTCAAAAGTTATTTTTGCGAAATCACTTCTGAATTCTCGGAGAAATCATGTTTATTTGAAATTATTAAAATAACACCTACCTATGTATCATGAAAATGAGTTGGACACCAACACCGCAAAATGATACGGAAACCAAACCAGGAAAAATCCGTGAGATGAAATTTTCGGTTTTTGACTAATGGGCTTTATACACCTTTCGAGATGATCATTTCCAGTATAGTATTTCTAAACCCTGTGTAGCAGTCCTAACTACTTCTGATCTATCGTTGTTTACTCTGTCAATGTTACATTCAACTTTATCATCTTCATCATAGAGATTATAATACCATTTATGCTACTCATAAGAGTTACGTGTTGCTTTTTGCAGTGTCGATACATCGGTTACATCAATGGGTAAGGTATAGGTGAATCGTGGTTTAACCATTGTTTGCGTTCACGAATGCTCTATTTAAGTTCATCCCACATTGGCAATTGCGTAAATACACCTAACTGCAGTTGCATGCATGTCTCTTTGTGCCTTTGGCTTAGCCATTCAGAATTTACTGAGGTTAGTGTTAGCAAAGTTTTAGTGATGACCCATAAATCAAATCAAAACATTGCTTTTTTTGTCAAACTTTCACAAAAAAACTACTTTAATAGTAATTGGTATTCTCAAATATACCAATATTATGTGTATTGTGATTATGGTTTTTTGGGGTTGTATAATGATTTTTAACCGACTTCAAAAAAGGAGGAGGTTCTCAATTCGACGCGTATTTTTTTTTTTTTTTTTTTATGTATGTACACCGATTACTCGAAGACGCCTGGACCGATTTGCAAAATTCTTTTTTTATTCGATAGGGTATACTTGCCATTTGGTCCTATTGTCATGAGGTCAGGATCTGATGATGGAATCCTGGAGAAACCAAGGGGAACTTTCGAAAATTGTAGGGGCGAGTAGGTTTTTTGTATGATGTTAAGGTAGGTCTTTAACAACACTACAACTTGACGAAGGTCGAAGTCGACCAGATGTTGGAGCTGGAAGACAGTCGAGGGATCTCCTTGACTATTTGGAGTAATTGCCTTGTGTTTGGGCTTGAATGATTCGTATTGGCGAGCACTTTGCAGCAGGCTTGGTCGTAACTGTCGTTAAGGGTCTGATGATGAGAACGAAGGACACCTCAGGGAACTCCTGAACGGTTTACAATGTTTTATTCTGTTTAGGGCTTGGCACCGACTTCAAACCTATGAACAGGTAGCACATAGAATTGATAGTGTTTTATTATTAATATTAAAAGTATTAGCTTCGCGTACGTAAGAGTGCTATTAAAATATCAATTTTAATTACTTATTTGACACTTTTTTGTTTTTGAAGTCGGTTTTTTTAAACGTAGTTTTTTTTATTTCTTCTCTGGTTGGCGCGAGAACATGTGCCAGGCTCTTACTGACTATAAAACCACTGCGTACTCCTGATGCCCCGGGCCGCGGTAGTGATACATTACTCCTGCAACCCCGACAATCAATCGACATGAATAAATCTTTTTCGAGTGTGAAGTCAGCGTCGAAGTGACGGGGAAATTACATTATAGAATGCCACTTTTAGCGTCATCTCATTCTATCAAAATGTTGCGGTTAATTTAGTTCAACTCGCAAGTGTATCGCTGTATACTACTACTCACAGCGGATTCAGATTCGAAGTTTAGAATGAAGTCTTACAGAATCACACTACTGAATATAATAACTTTACAGACGTCTTTCGTACTTAAGTACTTGTTTCATTTTAATTCTGCTAATGCCAGAAGGATCCAAAATTACTTATGATTTAACCCAATGTTTTACCCCTTTCCTGTCCAATTATATAATCTCTAAATTTTTGATCACATAATAATAAAATATGTGTATGCATAAAAAATTTACATTCGGACTTACCAGATTTCGAACTCTCTTACCTTAACCTGTAGGCCAGAATGACGTTACCCACGTTAATGCTAGTCACCTAATCATTATTTAATTTGTACCGCACAGTAAAACTGGAAGTGAGTGCTAATATAAACAAGCAGGCGTTGATATGAGTCTGCTATATACTTACTTATGTATGAATCATTAATAATTGCAATATTAATAATATGGCGTTCAAGGTAATATCTAATTGCTCTATTTACTGTAACAGCACTTAATGTAATTCATAAACTGGTTTCCAATGTGCCTAATGTAGGGAAAATTATAGCTTAGCGCCTGTAGGAAATAAAATGTTGTTCAAATAATGTTTCTAGAAGCTTGTTGAGGTAATACTGTTTACAGATAAGCAGGTTCTGGTTAAGCTATGAATCAATTATCTATCGCAATACCTACTATCACAAACAATGGTGGATGGTTTTTCAGTACTTCTCGTAAAAAGTACGTAGTCGTAGCCCCTAAAAAGTCACTCAAGTAAGGTCACCATAGGTACCTATCCTTCAAATTATCCTTTAACTTACATTTTGTTTCACCGAACTAAGGGCTACATAATTAAGAGCTAATGAGGTGACATTTACAGTTGCATAGTACACAAGTATTTATCAATTAATTAATTGATTAGTCAATTTTATTGATATTTGCGTAAATATACAATCTTAAAACAAGTACCTAATTAACGTTTCTGACTTCAATTTCTTTCGAAAAACAAGCGTCTTCAACCTTTGGACGTTAGATTAGTAAAAATCATTTGGTTTTTTGGAGCCTCTGAGAAACATCGTATACCTTTTTTTGTGAGGGGAAAATCATCAAATTACTTCTCCTGCCCAGGGTCGGGCGGGAGGGGACTCTCACTGACTAAAAACCCCCTGTTCCTTCTCCTGCTCTGGGCCGAGGTCGCGGTGCGTCATTGCGCTTACCCCGCAACCCCGGCTGAAAAACATCGTATACCTACCATTCGAGTAAAAAAAAATCATTTTTCGTCCTTATTTTTAACCGTAACTTCACTCCTTAATAACATAGCGTGAAGATGTGAAGATATGTATTTATTTTGGCCTTCTAGCTTAATAAATTTGGTTATTGTGGAAAGTGTGAGAGCCATGCTTCGGCACGAATGGGTCGGCTCGACCGGAGTAATACCTTGGCCTCACATAAAACCGGCATGAAACAACCACAGCGTTATGTTTTGCCGTGTTAGTGAGGTTTCCGGAGGCCCGATCCTTCCCCTCCCCCAATCCCTAATTCCCAAAAGGTCTGCAACGCACTTGTAACTCCTCTGTTGTTGCGGGTATCCCTGGACAGCGCTGATAGCTTCCCATCAGGTAATACGTATGCTCGTTTGCCGACCTACCACATAAAAAAATGGACTGAACGACTGGCCATACATTTCTCATTCAGTTCGTTAGTTTAAGCGAACGCATTGTTATGAAAACCGAGTTGCTACTGGAATGGTAGGTTAGGTTTTGTTAGTGCTGTAACTTACAAGGACATCAAATCCCCATCACAAATAAATAGAGTATAGTGAAAAATGAAAAATCCCTTTAAAATACGCCTCTTCAGCTTTAAATTACCTATAGGTAGATGGATATAGATAAAAACCATGTCATACTAGTTTTAGATAAGGCAGATAAATACCCTAATTTTCTTCCAGAGCCAATCTTATGAATGATGCAATACATAACATAACATAAACAGACTTAGTAATGTATGTTTTCGATAATGTTTCAGTTGGTAAGTGCCTTCTGGCAGAACACGAGCGCTGAACCTGCTCCCGGTCGTGTTCCCAAAGTTTACAACGCTCTCATCACTTCGAATCAAAACCTGGAACCTAGCAAAGCGTACCCCGTGTACCAGCCAGTTCTACACGACGCGTTCGCCTTCTCCTATCAGCAACCGATATTCTACGGTGGAGATTTACTTGGAAATGTAAGTATTTTATGTGTTTTATAACTCTGAGATTTGAGAACAAATTAAAATAAATCATGCACTTTGTAAAGACTCTACGTATACATGTATAGATGAGGATACAATGGTAGTCGAATAATAAACTTATTTAAATTCTTATTTCCAGTTCATAGGTAATATTTTCTATGTAATGTTTTATTACGAGAATTTTCAAATGAAAACAATCAACTTCGCAATTACAAGTACAAATTCTCGACCAACTTTTGTTCAAAATTATTATTAAACAATTAATAAAACAATTAGGAACACTTGCACAATTTATTACATTTTGAGGTTTTTTACCATAACTATCCACAATTTCAGGGAATTGTGCCGGCATCAAGTTTCACAACGACTAAGGAAACTCGACCGTCCGAAGGTTCACAAGTTTCGACGCTCGCAACAGCTACAGAGGTGTCACCTTCGTCGACTGTAGCTCCTACTACAACTGAAGAACCAACAAAGCAGTCAAATGAGGGTAGTGCTTCCACCCCATCTCCTACGCCGCCTAACACCCAATCTCCTATACCACTCAACGAGTTTGGTCTTCCACCACAAGTTTTACCTTTAGGACACATCGACCCCCTATACAATGCGTTACCACAATTTAACCCTTTCACCTACAGATATCCCGGAGTCAGGTTCTATGACCCGTATGATCCATTTGGCTTCAACTCTTACACGAGTTTTCCAGTATACCGTCCTCTACCAAATGTTTTGGGACACAGTCTTCCTATTCTTACAAAATTAAATAATGAGCCTAACAAAAGCCCCGTTTCTGAGCAACAAAATTCGCAAACTCCGCCCCCTGAACCGAGTGATCTCAATATACTGAACTATGCTTCACAAGACCCTGCCATACCCAACGTTCCCCCACCACCACTACCCCAAGGCGGCTTAAAAAATGATAAATCTGAATAGTTATAAATAAAAGTTTTACAATAATATACTTTCTATCATTATAACTAGCATTAGTATCAAATTGAAATGTCAAAGTTAAAGTCAAAATCATTTATTCCTACCAAAACATAAATAGGTACTTTTGAAAAGACAAAATAGAAATGCTCTTTCCAAATTGTAGATTCAAATAGAGAAGAACGAGAAAGAAACTCCAACGTTACTCTTTTTAAAAATAAAAATAATATTTGTTTTACAATTTCACTAATACATCATACTCGTATACAAAATTTAGTTTACATTATTGTATCCTTACGAGAGAACAATACAGATATCAGTTGTTAAAAAAAGAAGAAGTGATGGGATCTATCACTAAATTTTAAATCCTTTGTCATCTCAAACATCGTCATTGTCAACAGCGCTCACATATGCGTATTGACAATCCAAAAGAATGCTTCTGTTTAACACATTCAGTGCCCCCGACGCGTATGTGCGTGCGAGGAAACGCACATACGCGTCGGGGGCACTGAATTTGATAAACTCTATGGTTATATGAATTAACAATTAATTAATTTTGAGAATTTTAGTAACTAAGTACTGACTATACTTGAGTATATTGTCCAGTAGAGCTGAACCAACATGCTGCCATGCTTTTTAGCCTCAATATAATCTGAAAGTTTGTAGGCCTGTCTACACAATTCGTGTTTATAAGTAACAAGATGAGTGAAACTAAGGAAACATTTGGTACATTTTAAAATTTCAACGCTATTAAAAAACATTTGCGATGCTTAAGGATCTAGTGCATTTTCAATCCGTAATAATTACAAAAATGGACGTCGCTCTGTTCGCCTTATTACGGATAAAATGGATGCCATTTTTGAAAAAGTAAAGCAAGATCTATCCGTAGCTTCGACTGACCACGGCTTCACGGAATATGGCGAACCGGGTTACCTCGCAACAATTTGATGCTGTGTGTGTGAAAGGAAGGGTATTATTTATAATGAGCTGCTACCATCATGAAGGACTATCGAATCTGAACCCTACTGTGAACATTTGATGAGATTAAAGCAAAAAGTTGAGAGAAAGCGGCCGGGACTCATCAACAAAAGGAAAATCTTCAAATGGCTTTTCCTGCCCAGGATGGGGCGGAAGAGAGTCGGTAAGCAAATATAAAAAATCCTGTTCAAAATGATCTAAAAGACGGACAGCAAAAAAATCATCGTACCGTCGAATTACAATAATGTATGAAAAAAACCATGTTTTTTTTTAATTTTCGTTTTATTAAATTTATGTTCTATACGTGATAGTAATACAAATCCCAATCAAGATCAGCAGTCATTTCTGCCGGTATGTACCAATCATAATAGTAGTATTCATAATTTAAGCCCCGGGTCAGAGTAAGTAGTAACACTCGGTAGCAAACAGCAAAACTGTAAGGACGAAATCTGATCATGTCCGCGTGGGGCCCAGTAGCTGTTATGCGCAAACATCTTGGTACCGGCAACCCATCCCAACGAGACTGAAAACACAAAGATAATAAATTAATATAAGTACGTATGAATACTGTCAGAAATCTAATTATTTTTAGTGACAGGTACACCTTGTACTATCTGAAATCACTGTTTGTCTTAATTATGGACTCAAATACTGATCATTATATCTGCAGTTTTAGGATTTATAAATCTGGATTTCCTTTGAGATCAATTGTGTAAGAGCCATATAACATGTTACGTACGCAACATAATATGTTATATGGCTTATTAACATATTCGTGTTAACGTACTTGTTTATTAAGTACCTACGGTCACTACTTTTTTTGCAGTGAATCGATTTTTAATGGTGAATTTTAGACCATGTTGTATATAGATTTTTGTTTGTTACCTATAGTGCGTTGAAAGTGTAATGTTTAACGTTGATAAAAATTTTACCATTGGTAGCGTTGACTTTGATAGCCGTGAGAATTTGTTTTTGAAGATTATAGCTAAATTTATTACTACGTTAGGGTGATGAGTTTACGCTACAAGGTATTTTGTTGGCGTTTAAATATATACTACTGACTAAAAACCCCCCTGTTCCTTGCTATAGGGCTGAAGTGAACTTCAGCCCTATAGGTCCCCGTCTCTAATAAAACCACTGATTATTAAATATAAATAATAGCATGTATAAATAGTTACCCGAACCACGCTAGTTCCAACGAGATCTTTACCCTTGTGATGTGAATGCATTACAAATTGCTTGTTTCTGAATACACATCCCGTACCAAAAAAATACTCCATCACGGCTTTTTCTGAAATTAGTCATGTTTCATTGAACAAGGTGCCTTTTTTGAGAGGTGAAAATCAACAAATTAGATGGTTTTTAGTCAGTTTCTTACTGACTAAAAACCACCCCGGTCCTTCCGCGACACGCAACTCCAGGTATACATCGGCCCTGTTAGGCACCATCTTTGGTTCTAAATCAGGCCCGCTGGCGAGCCACGCGGGTGTTAGAACAATAGTTCCCTCTGAACAAGATGCCTAAGAACCATATTTATGAATAAGCAAAATTAAGCATTAGAAAGCATTTGATTTTATAAATGTAATCAATACAGGGTGTAAAAAGACACTTAACGAAGCCGAAAGTCACGTATTCTACCCATTATTTGGATCATTTTTTGCTTTAAGACCATAGCTGGGACTTCACGTGTTCCCGAGATATTGAAGGTCAAAGATGCATTTTTAAATATTTTTTTTTTTTTTTGCGCAATCGAATTCTAAGTATTATTACAAAACTTTTTTCCAAACAACTATTACCTGAATTTTCGATTTTTCTAAATAAATTACGCATTTGAAGTTACGAACAGTAATGTACGTAATAAATAAATGCAGACCCGCACAAAAAACATCGTGCATCTCAGTAGGATTTTTATTTTACAGAATTATTTTGTTGTTGCGAAGTAAAACGTCGACCTATGTACTTATCACAGCGTTTTAATGCTAAGCTGTGAACCTACGCACACAATGACACGACGCAATGAGGCACCGCGACCTCGGCACAGAACAGGGGGGTTTTTAGTCAGTAAGAGTCTGACACTCCCTCCCGCCCGGCCCTGGGCGGGAGAAGTCATTTGATGATTTTCCCCTCACAAAAGAAGCCCGTTTGCTTTACATTGCGCGCAATAAAATTATTTTTTTTTTTTTTGATACCTAAAAATAAAAGTCGTTTCCCAGTGATAATTTTAGCGTAAAGCTACAAGAACTGCAGTATGCGTAGTTAACGGCTTCGTTAAGTGTCTTTTTACACCCAGCTGTGTATAGTATAATTAGTTACTTGGAATATTAATATTTGTGAAAATGATGGACTGTAGTGTCGTCGGTTTTTTAGGTGTAGTTGTAGGTGTTGGTGCAGGTCTGGCGGCATAGCAAACCCCTGTAACAAAAACTGAAATAATATTATTGCTCCTTGCTTTTTTAAGGAGAAAATAATATGAAATGACTCCTCGCTTCCTTGATAAGGGAGGAGGGAGTATCAGACTCCTACAAATCCAGGTTTCCTTTCGATGTTTTCCTTCACCGTATGTCAGTGGTGTCCAAATAATCATAGAAAATACAATAAAACTCGGAAAAAGTCAGGTTACGACCCGCACCCTCATGTATGAGATGTGAACCTATGGGCTACCATGACGATGGCCACGATGTCGCTAGATTGTTCATTAGAATGTGAACAAATTAGGTAAGAAGTTTTCTTTTTCGATAAGCGGCCAACTTTCTTATTTAAAGTGTAACTGCTTTTGTAAACAAAAATAGAATGAAAAATACTACATACATTACTTGTAAAAAAATTGTGTTAGAATTTAATCAATAAAAAACTTACCGACTATACATAATAAAAGTGATCCAAAATAAGACTTCATTGTCAATAAACTTTAAACTTAATTAGATACTTTTAGTTTTAGGGTCACCGACTGCCGAATAAATAACTAATTAATAACAATATAAACTTTCAGATTTAATATTATATGACACTTTATGAAATATTTATTTAAAACGTTTAAAATCTTTAATTTTGGGTACTCAATCTGTTCATCCGTTTGAAGACAATCGTTCAAATGAAATAACGAGCATCTGTTTAAAAATCTTCAAAGATTCCTCCCGTGTTTATAAGAAAGAGGTAAAACAAAGTAAGTATAAGTGCTCGCTCACACTGCGTGCCATTTTTGAGATGAGAACATCACCCGATGCCTTCATCTGATTGTCAGTGACTTTTACTGTTTAAAAATACTAGTCGCCTACTGCGGCGGCTGCGTTCCGCCTCCTCCTTTACGAGCATGTATCGAATGTTCATCGGTGTTTGTAGGTTAATTTATTTATATCATAACATCTTTACACAATAGTATTTACAGGTGGCCTTAATGGTGGCCTTAGGCATTGTCTAACAGTCGACCGGTGATGGAGAGACGAGAGTGGCAGGTGACGTGAAGATGATATAACAAAATATTATGATAGTAAATAAATAAAATATTATCTATCTATAATAAATCTGTAGAGAGGTCATTTCTGTACATTAAATATATTTTCAAAATAAATACCAGGCGGTGATAAATGATTGATACTGATGCCAAAAATGCAATCAGTAAAATCTTTGCCTGTCTGTCTGTCTGTCTGTATGTTCCTTATAGAAACAATAACTACTCGAAGGATTTTAACAAATCTTGGTACAATTATTCTTTATCCTCCTGGGCAGGTTATAGGATACTTTTCATCACGCTACAAATAATAGGAGCAGAGCAGTGAAGGGAAATGTTGGAAAAGAGGGAGAAGTTACTCCCTTTTTGAAGTTTCCGTCGCGTGTGTATCCTTTATGGTTAAAGTTACGTAGCAATTATGTATGACGGAAATATTCTACATAAAATTATCTAAAAAATGTTTTACAGCATTAATTTGTAATCACGAAAGCACGTGTAACTCCTGATAGCTTAGCAGTTCGGATTAGCCATCGCTATATTTATAAGGATTATTTTTGTGACTGTTGCCGCGCTCGGATCAAAATATAATATTTCTAATACTTACCTATTAGTTAGATCCATACCAATCTATCTATAGACAGACGAATAACGGAGAATTGTAAGGGTATTTACCCATTGGAGATGTACCCATAAAATGAGACAATTATTAACTAACTTATGTATACTTCGATTTTGTTCTATTGCTATAGCCTGCATTTTATCAACACAGCACGCGGGCGAAGCCGCTGGCAGAAGCTAGTAATAAATATAAATATAAAATATACAGATAATATAAAACCACAAAAGAGACAAGTAGATATAAAAGTCTTGTATTATTTAAGGCGAACGATTGGCCCTCATTCTGATTTCCGTAGGTAGTGCATTGCATGCTGTTGTTACCTAATGGGATTCACACATATGTATAGAGCCTCCCAGGACGTAGCATCACAGATTGAATGAAGAAAAAAGAGTTTAAAAAATCAGTGTGATGATGATCATAAATGATGATCATAAACATTGAAGGTGACGATTATTGGAAGAACGAAGATATTTATAATGGTTTGCACGAATACATTGAAAGCAAAGTCAAATAATTTATTTCAAATAGACCACAACATTCACCTTACAACGTCAAGAAAAAAAAAATTAAAAGGTTTAACTTTACGCGTGTCAGTCCATCCGTCTGTATTCTAGTGAAGCTATTTGCTCGTTCCAAAGTGTAGATTCCTATGGAGAAGAACGAGCAACAAACTTCATAGTTACTCTTTTTTAATAAGTAAGTAGATAGATAGCTAGGGGCAATGGGAGAATTAAAATTTTAAATAAAGAGAATTTGAAAGGAATTAAGTGCAGCCAATGTGCAGAAACATGATAGTATGTAAGCAGGTTGAAAACAAGTCGAATGCAGTTATTCAGAAGAAACATCATCATAGTCTAATGTTGTTGATGAACTTCTAGGTTTTTGTAAATGTGAGTGCCCTGTAACCTATTTTAATTAAGTTACACTTGTAGAATATAGGTACTTGTGTCGGCTGGGAGCTGTCATGCTCACTCAGAGGTCTCATTGGCGGTGGCACGGGCACTGGATCGCTCAATTCCCTATAATATAGTTGAATTGGGCGGTGCTCGTGTACGTGTCATGTTCGTGAACGGGCGCCGCCTATTGGGACTGGTCATCTCCAGGCCGTCTAAATATGTCGTCCTTAAGGTTAACTTCTTTTTCGTATTTTTTGCCTAAACATTAGTGTTACACTGTTCTCACATATCAGAACCGACTAAATGATGTAACAAAGAAATGTATTGTAAAACTGGTTGAAAAAGAGTAACCATGGAGTTTCTTGCTCGTTCTTCTCCATAGGAATCTACACTTCGGAACGAGCAAATAGCTTCACTAGAGGGCAGACGGACAGGCTGACATGCTTAATTTTAAAGCTCTTGAAATACTTTTTTTGCTTGACGTTCAGAAGTGCCTACTGTGGTCTAATTGAAATAAATGATTTTGACTTTGACTTAGTGAATAATCCGGAAAATAAAGAATTGCAAAAGCGCTGCCTTTACGAAGGATGGAAGGAAATGTTTACTACGATATTGAGACCGTAGCGAACTTGAGACAGCCACGCTGTGTGTGTACGCTAGCTGAAGGGTCAATGTGCAGATTGAGATCCTTAACATCGCTACTAAGCGGGATGATGGCATTGTTAAACACAACAGGTGGTAAGGTGCCATTACATGACCTGGTTACCTAGCGATCTACCCATAACTATCGCATGGCATTTGCAAGGTTTAGTAGCTATATTAGCTATCCGAAACCTCCTGAACCAATTTAAATGGCCTCCAGATCGACATTTAGCTTTTCAAAAGTGCCGTCCTTATTCATCCTTTTTTTTCTTATAGTGCTTCTCTCCTCAGCTTCTTAGTAACTACAACGTTACCGGTGAATCCGTCGAAATAATCGTGATGGCACATAGGTTAAGGCTTTTAGACCTAGCAATTTCCAATGTGACTTCTTTGAGTTAAATGTTCTTTCTATGATTATTTAGATACCACTGCCCTACAAAGCACGATGTCAATAAAAAAAGCAAATCTTATTCTAGCCTATAAGCATTGCATGAGTCTGTCAAGACGTTATACACAAAATGTAACAATTTATTCCTATTCATGGTTATAATTTTGATTATAAGGTGAAATAAATTTTAAAATCGAAAACCCTTCTTATCAGTTGACCGGTAGCCGATGGGGCAGCAGCATATGGTTGAGGTGTGCTGCATGTAGAAGGTACAATAAAGTTAAACAACCATAACGATATATCAAAACATTGTATATTTGATAGGAAAATATATAAACAAACCATACATCATTCTAATGATAATAACACCAGATATTATCTGGGCACGTATCTCGCAAAAATTAATAAACGAAACTGTCGCAACAGGGACCTTGATAAAATGTGGTTAGGTAGGCACTGAGTGATAAAATTGTAGTTACACGTGACAAAAATCATAAAGAAACATTTTTATGGAAACCTAGAGTACCTAGTCTATACTAGATAACAAGTAAATTTTTTTGTTGACATAGCTAAAAGCCGTGCTCAATGGTTATTCAACAAGATAAGGGATTTAACCTGTTGTTACCCAATGGGATTCACACATATGGAGCCTCCCAGGACGTGGCGTAAAATCAATGAATTCATAAAGATATCATATCAGGCACAGTGACACTGACGTTAATATATTCCGATTACAAACATATACAGCATGTTGATAAAGCTAAACAGTCTGGTGTTTTTTTGGTCAGGATCTAACCATCTCTTAAGGGCTAATCCCTTATTATTTGAAATATTTTACTGGTTCGAGATAATTGTAGAATTACCTTAGCAAGAGACATAAAATATGTCTCACACATATTTTCTAATGTCGATGAAGATCAGCCGTTCTGTAATGGTTAACCAGTAGTGCATTGTAAGACAAAAAATATGGTGTTTCTAAACGGTCATTTTAGTGTGATTGTCATATGTGACGTCTAACTGCACGACCATAGCGACCACATTCGGTTTGCATGGTGATGGCGATGTCACTGGGCTACAGCTACTGAATATGCTACAAAAAGTACCCCGTTTAGACGCACCTTATTCACAATAAAATGGAATAACTGACTACTACATTATTAATTAAGAGTTACAGAGGATCAGTTTCAACAATAGATTTGTTTTGAATACATTGATTAAACTTTTCAGTTACCGTATGATTAGTGGAATAAGTATTTGGCCTCGTCGCGTCGTGTGATGTGATAATGAACTTTAAAGAGATTTTCTAGAAAGGGTCGCACGAAAATCCGACCATTGCTGACTCTTCTTGCTGCTACAGAAAATATCCTGAATAAAGCAGTGGTTAAGTATTTGTGTGTATATATAGGGCTTTGACTTGTGTATCGTCTTGTTTACGCGACATAATGATTTCATTTTGAAAATAGATTAATTTTAACAATTTATAAATGTGTAACTTGTTTAGTCATCTAGCCGCCAGATCCTGCTTCTCACGGATGCCTAGTTACCTCGGAGTCCCTCATTTATTTTGCTAGCAAACTGCTAAAGCTCTGAAAGTTTTGTTTATTTCCGATTCAGCCCTGTGCATTTCTAAAATTTTAATAATAAATATTCCATTCACAAGTGATTGTCATCACGCGTGACTAGAATGAAATTGAGATAGAATTTTATATAACTAGATTAAATATTTTTTTCTGCAACGACATTATACACATGTACTTTTTCCAAACACCCTATTTGCATAAAAACACAGGTAACGTAATCTGCGCAATAACAGTAAAGTGAAAATGTTGTCAAATCGCAGTTGGATACCGGTAAAAGTGCCCGAACTTATGCTACCTGTGATTATAGATTGTTTTCAGTGATTTGCACTATGAAAGTCTTTGTGTCGCGAATAGTATTATTCTTGAGTGCTATTGTTCGTTCTACTCAACAGGCAAGGGTAACATGTCTTACTTTTATTATAATTATTCGTGTATGATAGGGTTTTGTTCAAAAAGCCGTAGTTTTACTAGAACTCGTTTATTTCTCAGACTTGCCCCGAAGAAGTATCGAAAGAAGGCATCAGTGTAACGTGGCATAAAACACCGACGGCACATAACATCGAGTCAGATCCACTCTGCTACCGAGATGAGACTTTAATAACTAGGAATTGTTCCAGAAATGGCTGGGTTCCGTCACTTAATGATGTTGGTCCTTGCTTAAAGGTGGTCAAATATTTAGATGTTAATTCATGTCCCCCTGGATTTCACAAAGTATCAGAAAATATAAACGAATTTTGCTACCAAATAGGTGATCCTTCTGTTTGGGATTCTCCTTGTTTTTCAAGTGGTGGAGCTTCAGTTATAACCGATTTATCTGAAGAAGAAGTTCAGTTTTTACTTAATTCTCTTAGAAGTACAAATACATCCAATTATTTCTGGCTACCAGCAGCAAGACAAAGATTATTTCATCCCGTTGTGTGGACTATTCCGGGACCTAATTGGGGGCAACGTGTTATACCAAGTGGCTTCTTGAATTTATATACACCCTTTACAAAAAATTGTTTACTATTAGATGTAGAACATGAGGCACTTGTAACAGATGTATGCACCAAGAGCTATCCTGCCTTGTGTTTTTATATAAATGATCATTATTATCCCTCCAGATGTCCCGATGGATATCAGTCATTTCGATTTAAACATGATAACGGCACATGTTTTGGCATAGAAAAAGCAGAACCCGGAATGTCATTTAATGAGTTTCTTCAAAACAAGTGCAAGACCCCTATGGTCAATATTAACAGTGAGTTAAGCAGATTTGTTTTTAAAAAAATATCTGAATTAAATAATTTAACAAATGATATGTGGTGCTGGCTTGCAACATATAAAGATTCTTATGAAAACTATGATGAGACAGAGTCTATGAGTAGCAATAATTCTCAAATTATGAAGAAACTGTCACATGAAGGTATTGTGAACAGTGCTGGGGTTTTAGGGTTTATCAACTCTAACGCAGCTCTGCCATGCATGGCGTGTGAGGTAGAAATTGCTTATGGAAAAACAGAATTCATGTTCGAATACAATGAAGCTCAAAATAAAATTTTCTTAACAGTTTACTATCCTTCAGGATTATGGAAATACGACAACACTGATAAAGGAATTCAATGTTTTTCTGATGCAAAAGGTTTCTTTAGAGTTGTGGATGTAAATGATTTACCTTTTATGGAAGCTAACTCATCCCTTTTTTCTGATATAGCTAACATTGAAAAAATCGTATACGTTATCGATCTTGTTACTGATAGTTCCGCTCAATATTGGTGTGAAGGTCACACTATTGACTTTAACTTTCTTACTACAGACAAAATTATTGCGAATCCCAAGGGTAACAAAATTCATGTATTTGCACTTGTGATAAAATATTATGTTTTACTCGAAAATGTTGAAGAAATTGTAGACCTAACCGGATTAACAAATAATATTACAGATATATTTTCAGCAAAAAAAGTTTTGCTCATGGATGTAATTGATTATTCCTTGGATCACATGATAATTTTATTACACTTGCATGTTGATGTTAATGATATATATGAAGACGAGGCGCTTAATATACAAGAAACATACAATAATTTAACACTCATAGCAAAATCGGAATTACCGAAATATAACTATATTTTTGTGAATTTATCGAGTTCTGCAGTTTGTTTGCCAACAACTTCAGAAAACGTCAATGAACTGGACTGGGAAATGACGCCTATCGGCCACATTTCAGCCCCTAAACAGTTTTGTTTACAAGCTAATGGATTACCAGTAAAAAGACATTGCAAAGGATCCTACGAAACAGGTGGTGTTTGGGGTGAAGTGGAAGGTTCTTGTGATAGTACTTACGCCCCATCTGAAGCCACGGCTTTTCTTTACAATTTTGTAAAACGGCAGATGCCTAATAAATATGCATCTAAGTTTCTGACTGATGGTTTGAATTTTGTACTCAGCGATACTGACATAATAATTCCTGCTGATATATATTATTTATCAATGTCTTTACAACATGTATTAGATATTGCTGAGCAAAATTCAACATCAGTAGATACTGGTGATATAGAAAATATAGCCTGGGTCATGGATAGAATGATGGTCCTCGATTGTAATTATTTACGTTTAGCTCAAACACTTAATTCAACCAATGTTATATTAGATTCTGTAAGTGATATTATAGAATTGATAGCTCAAAGAACTTTAGTTGATTCTGCTGAGTTAAGTAATATTTCATACCAATTTGCATTAAAACCCCAGTTTATAGTCCAAATTACTTATCCAGAATATAATAACATAACCGGTATAGCTGTTATCAGAAATTCAGTTTCGGACAACTTTGCAGATATGGTAGTTCAACCATTGTATAAAAATACTAGCATAGATGATGTTCTTTCAATAGAAAGATTAGAAATCGCTACATGGTTACCTGAAAAGGTTTTAAGCACACTTCAAAAGAACACTAATGAAAGTGATGAAAATACGAGTGAGTTTTTACACATTATTATTACATTTTTCTATAATGACGCAATTTTTCAAGAAGTTGCATCTGAAAAACATACAGTTAACAGTCGAATCGTAGGAGTTTCGATACCAGACTATATTTCAAATCTTGAATATCCAGTACCGCTTATATTTAGGCAAATAAAACATACAGAAAATATTGACTGTGGTTATTGGGATTTTCAATCTCAGCGTCTAAATCACAATTTAGGTTCTTGGAAAAAACAAGGATGCTTTGTGGTAAAAGTTGTAAATGACAAAGTTGTTTGTGAGTGCTACCATCTTACTCATTTTGGACAATTACTAGCTTTGCCGAACAATACTGATGATGAAGATAATCATATCAACAAAAACCACACCTTAGCTTTAAACATTATTACTTTGATAGGAAGCTTTATGTCCCTATTAGGAATAAGTGGTATTTGGATAACTGCCCTTGTATTCAGTAATTGGAGAAAAAAAGCAGGAACTAAAGTTCTTCTTCAGTTGTCAACTGCTATAGCATTACCGTTAGTGTTTATTTTAATTTTTAATTTAGACTGTTCATTGTTCATTAAGGTAAACGATTTGTACGCTGTGGCTGAGCATAAAATATATCAATGTATTATTTTAGGAGCATTGCTACACTTTTCTATATTAGCTAGTTTTATGTGGATGTTAATAACTGCTGTTTTACAGTTTATAAGATACGTGAGAGTTTTAGGAGTAAGTAGACCTGCACGGTTTATGGTTAAGTTTACTTTGGTCGGCTGGGGTATACCTTTGCTACCAGTTGCTCTAACTTTAGCACTTGATGCTAAAAATTACATTCCAAGTCCATCCCTATCTAGAAGTATTTGCTATCCAAGTGGGTACTATATGATAGCAAGTGTATTATTTCCAATTTGCCTAATTTTGTGTGTTAACGTTACTTTATTTATTTTAGTTCTTCACGCCATATCGCGAGGATCTGATCAAAAAATGAAAACAACTGACATGGATTTGGTCAGTGCTCAGCTTAGGGTTTCTATATTCTTGTTTTTCCTTCTAGGACTCACATGGCTTTTTGGTATATTTTCATTTTCAAACCATTTACTTTGGTCTTACCTTTTCTGTTTAACATCAACGCTACAAGGATTTGTATTGTTCATTTATTTTGTTATATGTGACCCAAATACAAGGAATCAATGGATAACATTGATGAAACCACAATTCATATCAAACTCTTCTAGGAATAGTATTACAAGTATAACTAATGGATAATGTTAAGTAAAGGGGATAAAAGACACGCTTATTCGGTTTAAGATTTTATCGTTAAGCATACCTTAATTAGATTACATAATAATATATGATAGTTAGTAGTAGTTTATTTTGAATAAATATTTAATAATATTTGGCTAGTTTTTTTTTCGTCTCCCACGATCAGCACTTTCTTACTATTATGATATTTAGTAGTAATGACTGTGCCTAGATAAGTGCTATGATTAATTAGAAAATTCAATAAATGCCATATGCCAAATACTAAACCATAAATATTCACTTCGGTAATTACATTCTTAACATGCTTCTGCCAACGGCCCTACCCACCAAGTACTTGGGCACAAAGATCCTACGTATGTTAGAAAAGATTTCAAAAAAAGAAAAAGAGAAAATCTCTACGTTAAACTTCATTCTAAATCGATCCGGTTCTGTAGATACATGTAAAGTATATTTATAATAGTTCAGTAATAAACGTCAACTCATCCATCTGTAGGTATACTTAAAAACTCTTAAAAACTACATTAGTAGAATTCTTAATTGTGAAATTTAAAAAACTTCATGCGCTATTCTTGTGAAGTTTTGCACACAAACAAAGAATTTTGTTTGTTTACAAACACAGTCGAATACGTTAACAACACACATTTGTAGACGAGCCTGTGTCGAGTGTGTGTATGTTGCATGTTACATGTTTTAAAAGTTTTAACTTGTAGTGATTTAGAAACTAAAATTTAAAAAATGAGGAATATTGTGATAGGTTTGACCTTGGAACTTTTGATATTACGTAAGTACTATTTTTCAATATTTGCTATCAACAACTTTAAAGTGATGATATTTTTTATACACCTTTTTAAGCTATGCTGCAGTCGGCTGCAGTGCGACTCAAAAGTAATCATGACACAGGGGATATATTTAATTCTAACCAGTTGTCTTATGTGTACCATGTAATAGAGGCGAGATTATGGATCTATAAATAACAGAAACAGCCCAAGAAAATTTTGTACGCCCCGTGAAACGGAATCTCTTGAGAAATGTTACCTTAAAAATTATTTGACAGTAATGAAGACTTTCTTAATGTATATTTACAAGGATTGCTTCTGTTTAACATTTCCATGGTGCTAATTTGTAACACAACATAAGAACAATAGGTTCGCGAACGCCGACGTTCCCATGGAGTTTGGTGGATTGAGTTTGATGGACTCATTAACATCCCCACACATCAATGAAAATTGCACCGTTTTTATAATCGTTTAAATAAACTATTACTGGAATTTCAAAGCTTCCATTTTTTCATTAGGTACATTACATTACCTTATTTTTTAATTCCGGTATAAAACCTTTATTTGAACTTTAATATCGTTCCAAGTGGTAGGCGTATCTGGCTGGAAGGCGGTGCCAGCGAACCAGGCTACTTATGCCTTACGATCTGCACACTATGGCCCAACAGAAGGTTTGGTGGACGATGATGCTCTTCCAAGAGGTTTGTATACTTACTACATTATAATGCAAAACAAGTTACTAATTATTATTGAGCAAACGAGGTTTCGTACTAACTAATGTTAAGTATTTGTCGCCCATGGACACCCGTAGCACCAGAGGAATAACAAGTTTATTGCAAGACTAAACTAGCTATTGGTTGTTTTTTTCATAGTCAAAACTGTACATGGAATACAATATGTAGATGTGTAAATTCTGACATTTTCATCCCTAAAATGGAGCTTGCGATGCGTCTCGTCCCCAAAGAGCCAGAGAGAGAGAGAGAGAGAGAGAACAGATAGGGCCCATAGTGCAAAACAGCAGGCAACCTTAATAAAATGATGGACTTATCTGGCTACAATACAAGCCGGATAAGTCCTTGGATAACTTTCCAATTTAAAAAAAGACTTCACAGAATCGTATTTTCAGCCTGCCAGTGCGAAATCGTCTTTAATTCTTACAGATTATATTCACAGTATCTACAAATTCGGTTGGTGCACACCCGATGTGATACAAAAAGTGTTTCTTCGTAAGACAGCTAATATCACTCTATCGGATTATCAATCTACACAGGCTACTTATATTTATGTAAGTATTATTATACAGGTTCATTTATTTATTTTTTTAAAAATGTATTGGAATATGGTCCCGTCTAAATACATTTGTCATAAACACATGCCGTCTAAGTTTTTAATCCCCTTAGGCTCGGAAATGTTTTGGTACTGCGGGTCAAGCGCAAAAATGGACAGGAGAAGAAACGGGGTGGTTTTTAGTGACAAACAGTCTGAGACTCCCCCTCGCCTCACCCTGGGCGAGAGGTGTTATTTAATGATGTTTTTGCCACAATAAAGGGCTTTTGTAACTTTAATCAGCCAGCGACTTTGCGAACCATACCAGGCTAAATTTCATTGACATCCGTTACGTTTTGACCATAACAAATACTCTCCATCCATCCAGTAGGATTTAGCTTGATAATTTCATTGATCTCTGTTTAAATAACATAAGTAATAATATCTGTTTTTCCTATTTTCTACTTTCAGTTGTTAGAAGATGAAGGTACAATACGGTACAGATTGGCTTGCATAGTAATGAAGACTTATGTCCCAAGAAAGCATATGTTCCGAAGAAGCCGATTACCGCTGTACTATTGTCAAGGGGAGCTATTCTTTGTTTGGAAGCTGACCTATCAACGAATAGAGCTCCATGAATTCTATCTTCATGATAAACTCAACATTCCCGCAAATTTCGTGTTCGAATTTTACCATGCAACACCTTTATAAATAATTCGTCAAATTATATTTTATCAATTATTATGAAATACATAAACCTAGAGAACATAACACTATTGGCACCATACCATATATTGTTAAATTTTGGTCGTCAGAATTATTTGAAAAACCAAACACAATGAAAACAAAATACATTTTTATAAAAAATATTTTAGTTTTTTTTTGTTTTAATTATATTATCGCTTATACCACACTCAAACTCGTACAAACTTTATATAACTCGGTCCTTAGCATTTTTTAACTGCACAAAATCTTCAGAAATACTTAAAATTTATTAAACACTATTTGACCGAACAGGAGTACTATGTTATACTTAAATTGTGCCAGTTTTGTTCATTGTCGAATATTTAATACCACTGATATAACAAATGGTATGGGGTCAAATTATTTTTGAATTTTATATCAATTTACAAGTAAAAAGTAATCTATGTTTTCTTTCATCTGTAGGTGTGCTAAATTTCATTCAGATACATTCAGTAGTGTTTACTTGAAAGAGTAACAAACATCATCATCACTATGCATACTTACAAATATTCGCGTTTATTAGTAGGATTAAATACCTCCAATTACGGCAGATAAACCAAATTATTTCACCAATCACGATAACCAAACCAGTGCAAGAAAATATTTACAAACAGTTTGCATTCTGCAAACATTTATGGAAGATTCCCAATACAGATCCATCGATTTTCGCGAATGCGTTTCTCGGAAACAATGTTATCATAATGAAATACCAAAATGTCATGTCAACAAACAAAATGAGAGATTGACATTCATTGAAAATTATCATTCGTTTGACTCCGTACGAGCAGAATGTACGATTGGAGAGGTTTAGCCATTTGTACTACTCTATGTTAGTATTCTTTTTTTATCAGTTTCAATTAATATATATAGTTGGGAAAGTCATTCACAAACTTTTATTATATACAATTGTATTCAATTAAAACAAGAAAAGTTTTATTAAACTTATCAGTTTAAAAAATATGAAATTACTTATTTAATTATATTCAGTTTAATAATCTATCATTCATTTAATTAAAATAAAGCTTATTTTGTCGAAATTATAAATAAACAAATAGAAACAAGCAGAAGTATTATAGGTATAATACAAGTTCCACGTGCGCAAGCGGTTTATATTATAATGCTTATTTTTTCAATAAAGCTTACATGAAATAGCTACTAGCTGTCCTATTGTTAAAAACTCAAGTGTAAGCGTCAAAAATCTATAGAAAATGTAATTGATTTTGTTACTAGTGTTTATACGACCGAAGTTGTGTTTGATTCGGGACTTCTCAATTTGCCACGATGACTTCGAGAACGAACCTGCTGATGGCGTTTTGAAAATACACACGTTTAACTGGCTCGGCTTCGTTCAATACATTCACGGTAAGTTTTTATTTATTTTATTCTTTATCTAATCAAAAGTAGTCTATAGAACATGATTTATTGACTGGAGTAATTAAAAGAAAAATATTATACAGTTATTTTAACTAACCGATTGGGTTAAATCTATTGTCGGCTAGCATTAGCTCTCTTTAAACAACAAATTTTATAATAACTTTATTAATAGCTTTTGCCCGCGACTTTGTTCGCGTGGAATAGTGACTACCTGTATTTTATATAGTTTAAAAACTTTCTAGAGTTCATAACTATGTCAGTACTAAATTTCACATAAATAGGTTCAGTAGCTTAGGGGTTAAGAAAAGACAGACAGATAGACAGACAGAGTTACTTTCACATTGATAATATTAGTTTGGAAAAGTATAATTAATTCAAGCCTCTTTTACTGCTTCCTTTTTTTGGTGTCGGGTTGGAAAATCCTCATGGAGACCCATCGCCCTCGGGGAAGGGCGAAGGGTACTGTCAGACTCTTACTGACTAAAAACCAACCCGGTCTTTCTCCACTTACCCATGTGTCGAAGGGTATCGCCCCCAGGGTATCGCCGAAGCATTCGTCACAACCCCCCGACGGGTATTGGCCCGCCAGATGGTTTGGCGGGCCCCGTCACCCACTGCGGCCGTCACCCCGACCGCAGGACTCAATTATGAGGCGCGCGCGGAACACGGCGCCGCCGCCTCGAGGCCTGCTGCTGGTCGGACGACAAGATGCCCCGAGTCTGTCGTCCACAGGCCGCGCCATACGGTGGCCGCAGGTCGGCCACCCTATGACGTCTAGTGCGTCTGCTGCGGGAGGGGAGACAGGAGGCAGCCTCTCTCTCCCTTTCCGCCGCCTCCTTTGCGAGCATCACGGCCTCGCAAAAGGTAGCGACGGTACTCTACCCTGACTCGCTCCCGACCATAGTCGACACTACAGCCGGAAGCGAGAGATTTCCCGCAGCACCTACGGCCGCGACCAGGTCACGACGCTGCTCAGCCCAAGCTGGGCACTCCGCCAAGGTATGCAGTGCCATATCGTCGCGGCAATCACCAGAATGGTGGCACTGAGACGTCGGCTCCCGACCTATGCGACACAGGTACTTCCCGAAACACCCGTGTCCGGTAAGCACCTGCGTCAGCCGAAAGCTGAGGGCGCCGTGGATCCTATTGAGCCACTCCTCTAGAACGGGCCTTACCGCCGCTATAGTGGCGTGCCCCCTATAGTGGCGTGCCCCGTGCCGCGTGGCGTGTACTGCTTCCTAGGTTGTCATTCTAAGCAAGCAATAATTTCGGATACGCTGAATTTCAAAGCTATCCTTTTATTGTCCACCTGTAGGCCTACTACCAGCTCCATCCCTCTTTCGTGCCCGGAAGATTCACGCTTTAATAGGTCATGGTAGGCCCTCTGAATAGTATAAAATGTAATGTTGACCCAAATCTTAAAATGACGCCTATATAACCAGTTACTAAGCCAACTTCACAAATCAATAAAAATATTTCATTACAGTGACGACGGGGCTGCCACATCACAGTAAGGCGCCTCGAGTGGTCCTTGTTCACAAGCAGTTCGTCATCGGAACAGCGGCTGACATGTTGCATCTCCCGAAGAATTACAAACTGTACGTTTTCACAGTTAAATTTATTCATGTTTCATCGGTAAACAACTAGACCTGATGGTAAGCTATCCACGACGCCCATGGACGCTCGTATTACTAGTACGCAGGAGTTGCTGGCCTCTTGTGGATTACTATGGATTTAAGGGGATGTGAGGATTGAGGATCTGTATGGCTTTTGCTTTCGGTAACCTCACTCATATGGTGAAAAACAACATAAGTGTGCCTCACGCCCGTTTTCTATGAGGCCACGGTATCACTCGGAAGCATGGCTCTCCCACACTAAAAGTCAGTGTTAAATAATAATATATTCTATTACTGATTAACAGAAATATCTAGTTATGTGGTCTTTATGAACACCTAATTAGTTACATAATGTAACATACAGTCAGATTTTTATGGGATAAGGAGGTAAACGAAATGGCGACACCCATTTTGATACTCGCCAGACCTGACGACTTATAAGTGCCTTGTCGTCTATTAATAAGAATTTAAAAACACGTAGAGATAGTTTACCAAAACTTGATCAATAAGATTTCAAGAGAATACAGAAGAATTTATTATGAAATACTTTTTTTTGTTAGGTGAAAATAATCAAATGACTTGTCTTGCCGAAGGTATGGCGAGGAGAAATGTCAGACACTTACTGACAAAAAATCCCCGGTTCCTTCTCCTGCTCCAAGCCGAGGCCGCGGTACCTTAGCTTGACCCGAAGCCTCGCCTAAGTATCATATGCCGAAGATCTATTATACATAAGATTTCATCATCAGCCTATAAGTGCCCACTGCCGAGCAAATGCTTCTTCTCATAAGGAGAAGGTTAGAACATTAATCACCACGCTTGCTCAATACGGGTTGGCGATTTCAAACTTACAATTAGAAATTATAAGTCCAGGTTTCCTCGCGATGTTTACCTTCACCGTGTCAGTGGTGTCTAAATAATCATAGAAAGTACATATAACTCGGAAAAAGTCACATTGGTACTTGCCAGGTTTCGAACCCACACCCTCATGCATAAGAAGCGAGCTCCTTAACCTCCACGGCCACCACGACTTTTAACATAAGATTTATTTAGATTAATAAATAATTAATTAATTATACTTTTTTACAGCGGTAATATTGTTTTTGGGGATTATGAGCGAGACGAAGAAGACTGTGGGTTAACGCTGCAACAAATTAAAATCGGTATTAGATGTCCGCGTGCGTATATAGAAATACCTCCACAAGATATCACACCGCATCCTGAGTATACCAGGTAATATTTGGCTTAAAGCCGTAGCTTCTGCGAAACTTTCTTTTGCAAAAGGTGTATTAGAATTAAAGTAAAATAATATCAACTTAAACTTATACGTAGGTAAGTGCATTATACAATGGTGTATTTTGTGAACGTGAGTAATCATTTGAATGCATAGCTAACGCCGTAACGCGGTGGCGGGGTAACCTTCTGCTGTGCGGTTTCGATTCCCTTTCGGAATAGGTAAGTCTGTGGTCGTGGTCCACCAATTGTTGTTTCGGTTCTGGGTGTGATATGTACATACCTATGTTTGTAAATACAAGAGGAAATCCTTCAGTGGAGTCAACAATTTATTTTTAACAAAAATGTCATGCTGCATAGACGGCAGGTTTTTGTTACGTACAAAGGTTTGCTATAATCTCCACTTTCATACCTTCATGATACCTTATTGATGCTCCATAGTGTCTTTATTCAAATTATTATGTACAATTTTGGAACCACTTTTTTTGCTCGTACCACATTTTTTCGCTATAAGTGTTCAAAACCGTATAATAACATTTTAAGGTCTTTATTGTTAAAATAAGGTTTCTTTTGCAACCTCAATTATAAACAACAGAGAGCACGGAGCCACTAAGTGTGGATTCTAGTTTCAAAAATCTGTCAATCCTTGTCAATTCATACAGCGCGAGAGAGAGAAAGGATTGGATGACAATCTACAAATTAGATTTCAAATATTACTGATGATTACTGTATTGTATTGTCATTGGGATCAAAGGTGTGTACCAAATTTCAGATCAATCCGATCATAAGGAGGTACTTAAATTTCAATTTCTAATTTTACGTCGTACAGGTCGAGCTAAGTTTAATAAAAAAAAATCGTCCGCCTTTTTTATTTGAACCACTAATGTCAGCTTTTCTTTTTAGATTCGGCGTAGGCAATAGTCTCGCTTTGATCAAACTTATTCGACCTTTGAAGTCTCGTAAGTTAATTATACCCATTTGAGTAACTAGGTACTTAAATAAAATAGCAATCTGCACATATTTGTACAGTAAAACGTGTACAGTCAGCGTTAAAAGTTGATGACCATATTAAGATTTTCAAACGAATATAAAATGGTGTGCAGTTAATTTTGAACTTTAATGGTCTTCATTGAATACTGGACCTATCTTACTGATATAGTGTACAGTGGTTTTGGAAATTCGAATGTGCTCATCAAATTTTGATGCTAACTGTACCACATGGCCCACTCACCATTTATTTTGTACTAGTTCTCTCGGCGTATTCATGAGGCACTTGTACAATTTTCTTCTGTTGCATTATTTCACCTTCGCTGACGTTGCGTCGAAAATTTTAAAAGTTAATTATTATTTCAGATTACATGATACCGATATGTTTGCCAACGGTTCATGAACGAATGAAGAAGAAAAGACAAAAGACAGTGTTTCTGATTGATTATATTAGTAGTAAGTTCTTGTAAATTTCCAACTATACCATTCCTTCCCCTCCCCCAATCCATCCTCAATCCCTAAATCTCCAAATTCCTAATCCCTAAAAGGTCGGCAACGCACTCGTAACTCCTCCGTTGCGAGTGTCCATGGGCGGCGCTGATTGCTTACCATCAAGTAATCCGTAGGCTCGTTTGCCGACCTACTACATAAAAAAAATGCGACGGGAGAGTGTGTTTACACTTATTTAATTAGGAGGAGGAGATGCTTAATCATCTACATTAATACTTTTCGTTTATTATTTTTTTAAATTTCGAGATATTTTTAGTAACTTTTTATACAAATAATCCTTTCACATTTTCAGCTGTACCAAGAGATTTTGATTCGGAAAGATTAGCTAAAAAATCTCTCAGGTTGTACACTCATAGGGAGTGTAAACAGCATCGAATGAAAGCGGTAAGCAGAAACATTTTGTTAGTTTGGTAATCATAAATTTAATATCATGAGCAAAGGATTAACTTTACCTACTTAACATATATAACTTTAATATTATATTAAAATTTGATGGAGAAAGCGATACGTTAGCGGCACAGCCGCTATCAGTAAGGCTTTCTGGTAGCCTTCTATCAGAAAGCCTTACTTCATGGCGTAGACTTTTCAACCGACAATTAACGTCACAATCATTACTTTATTCAACAATTATAACAATTGTACATCGAATCTAGTATTTTGGGGCAAGTAAAGCAATGTTATCATTGGTAGTTTAAATATGATTCGGTATCTCGTTTACAGAGACTGGGTAGTGAGGGAGTGACACACGTGTTATGTAGCTCAGGATGTGGCGTCCGGCCTGGTGCGACCATCATCAGTCACTCGTCAGATGGACCATTCGAGCTAATTGGACTGGCAGCGGGTGGAGCTCCTTGCCATCGCCGATCCATGCGTCGCCGCCTCAACAATGAACCACCACTCTACATCGACGTGTTTCCCTACAATAATTGGATCATGAATGTTATAACTGCTCACCATCTTCCCAAACCATACCCTAACAACTTTATGTTGGCTGATGCAGGGCCGGGTAAGTTTAAAAAAATATAAATTGTTTTCTGTTCTGAACTGTCACACCGGTTGTTCTTTTCTTCTAAACTATTCTAATAAATTACTTACACCTACTCCTAATAAAATGCCTAACCATTGGATAAAGACGAGTGTTCAGGACATCATCGTGCTTCTAAAGGAGACCGATCCTGACGACGTGCCAACGTTTGTGATGAAGGACCACTGAGCAAGCACCCTTCCGTTACATTTGACCACGTCGACGTCGTCGTTATATTAAATAGCGTTTATATGTTAGTTCTAAAGGTATACATTTATGTTAAAAATCGCGGGTTACTCAGAAAAGCTCTACTTGTTTCGAACCACACAGGGGTTCTTCCTCATGAGCAGCGTGCGCGGACGCAGCGACGTCGCGCAGCCTACTGGTTAGCGTTGGCGCCTGCATCGCTGTTGATTGCTATTGCCGCCTGAATACTAAACACCAAATTAATTTAATTGCTATGATTCCAGGTATTGGTATCAATAAATCATATTTGAGAAAAAGACGTAAACAAAAGTCTGGTTGGCGCGCTCGTACATTCATGACTGGTAACTTTTGTTACTTGAATACGAAATTCCAAAAGCTAGCTTCATATTTCTACTCCGAGAAATTTGAAGTAAATGCTGATCCTCCTGCTAAACTAAATGTAATACTGAAGGTAAGATTTGTCTATACATATAGTTTTATACGTAGAAACAAGTCATCAGAATTAATGCTTATCTATTTTTTGTAGATTTCCGCTGGTATCGAATGCACAATCGTTTGTGCTCGTCTAACTATGCCCAACCGTTTGACGAAGCCGACTATAGATGGCGTTGGAGGGTATAATATAACAGTAACATTCAACACAGAATGGTTCCCATACTCATTTTTCTTTTCATTAGCGCTTCATGGTAGGAATAGTACTCAATCTGATATCCAATCTTGGTTAAGTGAACGCAAACCTGGTTTCTGGTGACATATGACATGTGTTCTAATAAAACTGTTTTAAATAATTTTATTTGTCTTATTTCATTTTCAACTTAAATCTTATTTGACTAGCTACTCTCGCGCGGTTTCACCCGCTGCTCGGCTCCATTTAATTGTAGCCTGATGTTTTATAGCGTCAGGAGCATTGTAGCTATCTACCTAAAAAAATTTTGGCAATCCGAATCCGACGATTTTAGTATAGAAGTATAGATTCTAAGATCATGATTACCTTAAAAACAAAAAACATAAATATCTCATTATTGATCATCAAATAACTTCTCTCGTTCAGGGTGGAATCCCCCCCTCCCTGTTTATTCTCCTGGTAGTACAAGGTACTCGGCCCTGTTGGATCCCATCTATTGTGGTTTATTGGCTTTTTAAATAAGGCGTACGCGGATTGCTACGCGCCGGACGCTCGGGTCTGGTTCTGGTCGAGCGACGAGGTAACCTTGCTCACCGTCAGCAGACCCGCGCTTACAGTAGCTGGAGATCATCGTGCGATCCCTGACGGCTACTGCAAAATGCTGCTCGAAGCTCCGCCCACTGCAGTAGACGACACCGAGGTACTTCATCGTCGACTCGACACCGATGGTACACACACACCCCTGCCCTATTTGGGATGCATCCGAAAGAATTACAGAATTCGTTTCGTTTAATGGCTAATATTGCGCTTTACATAATTCAACACCGGTTATTCAAGACCGATTTTTTCCAGACAGCCCTGTATCACCGTGTTGATAATAAACGAAAAAAAAATCTGTTGTAAATAGGTACTTATTCAGAAAATGACTTAACAAATCATTTTGTCAGCAAAACACTAATAATGATGTTTAAAAGTATTTAATCTTCAAAAATACTTTTATCCACAAAGAATTATTCTAAGTACAATAAGTCTTAGTAGTAAGATAGTAAGCAATCGGCGCCGCTCATGGCGTCGTGTCCAAGAGCGGCGTAACAACAGAGGAATGAAATATGCATATGTATCTTCTTGCAATCAAATCAAATCAAATCCCAGTTAGGTAGTAAGAAGTTTGAGGAAAGAGTGTTTTTGGGGATTTGGGGATTAGGTAGTTTCCGAGGTCAATTTTGACTTTTCAATTCATTGATTTGACGATATACTTAATTTGTGATTTTTATTTGTTAAATATTTGAAAATGAGTATGCCGTTTGACGTTAAATAATTATGACTTCATGTGTCTCACGTATCTCATAGAATTTTTTAGTTTTTGACATTTTAATAAAAGTTACGAATTTGACCAGTTGGAAAACATCGAATTGAAGAACTTATAATTAAAACTGTTCATCCCAACAATTATTCTCAAATCCCATTCTTAAAATAAATTCTTACAAACAATTTTTAATAGAAACCAGCCTGTAAACTGTCCCTATTCTGCTATTGGCCTCAAACTATTTATACAAAAAAGCAATGAACACTACGTACGTAGTGATCGTATATATAGTATCGTAGTGATCTATTGGAATGGGGATTCCGATCTGTTAATTAAAACTTCAGGTTTCTTAACTTTTCTTGTCGTTGTTGTTTATGTCAATTTTGTCTGTAATAAACATAAAGTAAAGATTTTAACCCCCATTGGGCCAAAAATGTTTTCTTGTTTCTTATGTTTTTAGACTTTTGATGGTTCTGGAAAGACTACATCGTAAATTGAAGATTTAAATAGTCCTACAACGATCTTGGGGTTTTCTTTAGACATAGGATGGTTGCCTCCAGACGGATCGTTTGTAAATAAATTATGGAAAAATGTTAGGAATTGCCGCAACGTTTTTATAGGCGACGAAGAAGCAGCGTCTTTAAATTTATCTGAAATAAATAAATGCAAATTGTAGTTATTTATATCAAACTACGTACTTATAAATAGTCCATTTATGTCGCAAAGTTTAAATCATTGTAATTATTACATCCACGTTTGCGTATTGATTATCCAAGTTACACGACTGTGTACCACGGACATATTTTGTACGTGTGTACATACACATGTCCGTCCGAACTCACATGAGTTGGTGACGGTTAAACGCTTCGTGCACTTAGTCTGAATGGCCCAAACCGAATGGCTCGCGGGCCATTCGATCGTAACCAAAAATCGTCGACTTTACAAAGGACCGATGATAAAAAATAATAATTTAAGAGTACCGTCGCATACATTGAAAGAGTCGCGAAGTTTATGAATTTTAACTACTTAAATACTTAATATCTTATTGATTATTACATTTTTCTTAAGTTATGTTCATTTTTTCTTGAAAATAAGACAGATTTTTACTAAATCTTATATTTTTACTATATTTTGTATCTTCTAAAATAAGACGAGAGACGAGATTATTATTCAAAACTTTTTACCCGATTTAACTTTTGTGAACTTTTTATATTATTAATTTCGTTAATTGTTTTTCTAAGTAAGATAATACAAATTCAAAAAAACAAAATATTTGCACTTTTTAACTTTTTTTGCACCCGAATGTACTTGATGTAGTTTATGACACTGCATTTGTTTACCAATTTTCGTCACCGGTCCTTTGGAACGTAATTCTTGGTTACAATCGAATGGCCCGCAGGCCAATCGGTTTAGCTTCGGTAGGTTCCTGTTTCGGATCCAGCGGGAGGAAACGCCCGAGGATCGTCATTGTGAGGACCACCTAGAGGATACGGTGGTGCATACGGTGGCGGTATGCCCTGCCTGGGCTGAGCACCGCCGTGTCCTCAAGGAAGTGATTGGCGACGGCGACCTCTCGCGCTCGGCCTTAGTCGAGGCCATGGTGGGAGCGAGAGGAACTGGGAAGCTGTCTCCTCCTTCTGTGAAGAAGTTATGCTCGCAAAGAGGGAGGCGGCCCGCGTGATCGAGCAATCCTCCTCCTCACGCCCCAGGCGCCGCAACAGGCGACACTACGGGCGTCGGGGATCAAGGGACGATCTCAGACCACCGTAAGCGCGGGTCCGCGGTCGGCGAGTAAGAGTAACTCTTGCACATCTTGTTGCATATATATTACTAGTTATAGTTATATATTTTATGATATTACTACATAGTTACTGGCGCGTGGTTTGTTCCGCTGTCCTGCACGTCGATTCTATAAAATTTGTTTGATTTTGAATCGTGTTCGACTGCGAAGTGAGCGTCGAAGTGACGGGGAAATTAAATTTTAGAATGCCACTTTTAACGTCATTTCATACTTTATCTATCAAAATGATGCTGTCAATTTAGTTCAATTCGCAAGTGTGGCGCTAGTGTACTACTACTCACGGCGGATTCAGATTCGAAGTTTAGAATGAAGTCTTACAGAATCACACTGCTGGTTCCTTTTGGTCATACGGTGACGTTTTATAGCGTATAGCACTCAAGAAAATTGTATCTGTATATCAATGAAATAATTTTGGAAATCACACCAGCAGCGGTTCCAAAAATAATAATATAATAAAATCATCGATTACACTTAAATAATTTACGATACTTAAATAAATATAATGAATAATATTTTATAATTTGTTACTCACTATTTAGTGTGCGAATAATTTATAAAAATATGAGAATAAAGTTTACCTCCGGCGACGGTTTGTCTTTTATATCGATCTTTAATTACACTATCAACATACTTCGTGCTAGCACGTTCTGTTAATTTGTTCATTGCGTAGTGATAAACACTGATAACCTGGAAAAAGAAATACTATACTTAAGCGTAAAGCATGGTAATATATACTTAAGCTTATCCATAACCACATTACAGTGTCTGACAATGGTTGGATGAGAAGAGCTGAACATCCATCTCAGTATACTTGATACGGAGCCGAGACGTGGACAATTACAGTGCGACTGATACATAAATTTAAAGTCACGCAGCGAGCTATGAAAATTGGAGTCTCTCTGTATCGTATTCGAAACTGAAAAAAGAGTTTCTGGCTTTACAAGTTAGTACATCGAAAGTACGCTGGCCTAAAATAAAAGCCCCATAAACCCTATGATACTTTATTTAAAAAACCCACATTGTCTGACAAAGAGGTGTTACTAAATCAAATACCTATATATTATTTTTTAAAATCATCAATAAAGTAAACGTCCAATAAATTCGTCTTTAATTTAGTTTAAGAATAAAGGTAAGGATTGCATTCATTGTTCAATCAACAATTCTATTCTTACAATACACACACAATATTATCAACAATTTTAAAAGAATTTAGTGATTTCAAAAATAAAAAAAATCCTATTGATATAATTATTGGACGGGTTGGCTCCATACAATTTTCACTTCATAGCAACTCTCATCAACACCCCTACAAAGTAATGACCCTTTTTTGTCAGGGAAAAATCATCAAATGACTTCTCCCGCCCAGGGTAAGGCGAGAGAGAGTGTCCGACTCTTACTGACTAAAAACCCCCCATTCCTTCTCCTGCTCTGGGCCGAGGTCGCGGTGACTCATTGCGCTTCACCCGTAACCCCGGCTGAACATAAGGCCTATAGGGCCCCGTCTGTGGTGGTCCATTCGCTCTTTGAGGCAAGGTAATGAACCTAGGATGTTATGTTCAGTTGCCGAAGATGTAATTTTTATTTTATCTAATCGAACATGGACAGTCCCTTGCAACGATTTTTCCGTTTTTAGGAAATGTGTGAGGTTGTAGTTTCACTCCGGTCGAACCTACCCTTTCGTGCAGAAGCATAAATCTTTCACACTTTAATTTCAAATGTTCACTTCATATAATAACAAGAATCAACAAACATACCCTTGGTTTAGCTTCATCAGTCCCAGTGACTGCAGCGTTTGTAGATGTAACCATTGTAAAATAGCACTGATCTATTAAGAAAAATATCGTATAACATAATGTTGATGTACTTAAAATTGACATTTTGTGGAATAGAATTTTAGAACTTAAATTTGAATGAAATATATGTTTCGTTTACTCTCCGCGATCAAGTGAACTGTAAAAGTGCAACGAGTGCGTTGTTGTGTTAAATGGCTATCGCTAGCAGTGAATCGTGTCTAAACAAAAGAAGGTGAACTATTGTATTTCTTTCTTTTTCGTGATTCACGATTAGATGAGTTTACTGGCATAATGTATTAGAATAGTATGACCGAATGAATCATTTTGTTTTGTAAGTACTACGGGTTTTGTTTTCAATAGATCATTCCTTACGATTGGTCAAATGGGATCAGTTTAGGTTCTGACTGGTGCGTTTAAATGATTGGCAACTTCGAAAAGGATAAATTTATTGATGATATTTTTTTATGTATTAGACCGGCAAACGAGCATCAACATACGGATTACCTGATTGTAAGCAATCAGCGCCGCCCATGGACACCCGCAACGGAGGAGTTACGAGTGCGTTACCGACCTCTTAGGGATTAGGGTTTTGGAGATTAAGGAATTGGGGGAGGGGAAGGATTGGGCCTCCGGTAACCTCACTCACTCGGCGAAACACAACGCTGTGGTTGTTTCACGCCGGTTTTCTGTGAGGCCGTGGTATCATTCCGGTCGAGCCGTCCCATTCGTGCCGAAGCATGGCTCTCCCACACTTCAAGATTTCTTTTGATAATATAACTTCTAATAATAACATATGCCTTCAATAAAAAAGATTCATTTCATTTTCTTCTTTACTTTATTGGCCTTAATTCCAAATAGAAGAGACGCTCACTTCTATTTTTCATGATGATGTTTAAAGAAAAAAAGATCATTACGAATATGGTGTAGTAATTTGTAATAACTTTAAAATAAAACAAATAAAATTTAAGAGTACTATATATAATTATGATATGGTTGAATCAAGTGTCACCACTTGGTGCTTAAATTTTGATCAACAACAAAAATGAGATTTCCCATAATACAAACCGCAAACTCAGAAATATTTCATTCAGGCAGAACACTTTCATAAAATAATAGAAAACTAATACTATCACAAAAATGTACTGATTTATTACGTTTGAAAGTTTTAGTGGACAAAAGCAAATGTATTTTAAGCAGATTCTACAGATACAGTGTCTGCGTCATTTAGACCTTTGTCTTCGTTGTTGGCTCCAGGAAAACTGGAAGGTGGCGAGGATGGTCCCTGAAGGTAAATATTGTCTGGGTATTGTGGTACTGGAAGCTGGGGAAGTTGGGGGAACGAGGGAATCTGTCCAGACCCTTGAGGCAGTTGGGGGAAATTTGGGAAATTGGGGAATGTGTTGGAAGGAGGGAAAGGAGGGAACTGCGGAGCTGGCTGAGTGGGTTCTGGTGCTGGAGGTTGAGGAGAAGGAGTAGATGCTGGTTCTTGTTGTCTCTGTTGATCAGCGTTATAATCCGCTGAGTCTACCACGGCGGAATCGGCGTCCCCAGCTGGCGAAGAAGGTGGGCTCGGTGAGCTTCCAGGGTAAGCAGGAGCAGGGGCAGGACTGCTTTCAGGAGCGCTAGGATAGCCTGGAGCTGATGGGAAGCCAGAAGCCAACACTGGAGAAAATGAGGCTGCAGAAGGATAGAAGACATTCGCAGTAGGAATATACGAGTGCGCTGCTATGGGGTAGTACGCTGGTTGTAGGGACGCGAAGCTGTTGTATTGTGGCACGCCATGGTATGCCAATTGAGGTTGCGCGAATGCATACGATGTTGGTACCTGTGAAATAATTGAAAAGATATAAGGTGAATTACTGAATGGGCGTAAGGCTAAATCTATAAAAATAAAAAAAATAAAAATGTTTTATTTATCTCCACAAATTACACATGACGTACAGGGAAACTCTTTAAAGTTAAATATACAAGTTGACAGTAACGAAAGGCAATTCGTGGGAGATCTAGAGTCTAAACTAAGCCTAGGCCTGTACTATAGAACCCCAGGCCCCCCCCAAACATAATATTTTATGCTAATTATATGTCACAGGGTAGGTACATGTTACTGGGCGTGCGTGTGTGTGTGTGTGTATGTTTGTGTGTGTGTGTGTGTTTGTGTGTGTGTATGTGTGTGTGTGTGTGTGTGTGTGTGTGTGTGTTTGTTTGTGTGTGTGCGTGTGTTTTGTAGATGTTTCAATATACGTGCTGTGCTTGTTATATATTTACACATTACCTTACTAATTCTATTATTTTTTCGGTTTCGTTTTAATGTAATGTAACTAGCCATTTTTTTATTTTATTTTTACGTTCATTTTTGTTGCATTCAGATAAAGGAATGATCCTGTTTAATTTATTAAATAGCATATTTCCTCTGTAAGGGAAAAATCTCTGTGCAAAATGAGTACTGTATTTACACGGATGAGCTCACATATAGCATAGTTTCTTCTTGTGGTGGCTATGCGTTGTTTTCTTTCAGCTGATATGTAAGGAAGCTTAAGTAGAACCGTAAGTATTATGTAGAGCTGTCGTACTGAGAGCACCTGCGATTCTTCGAATAGCTTAGAGGTAGGGTATAAATGAGGCTTAGGAAAACATACTTTTAAAATCAGTCTTTGAGTTCTTTCTAGTGTTATTAGTTTTGATTTGCAAGCGCCACCCCATGTAGTGATGCAATAACTTAGAATTGATAAAAGATTACTGCTTTCAATGTCAACTCAGTTTATTCGACTCGAACATCAGGCAAGGAGTTGCTCTTAGTAATATTTACAAAGATTTTTGTTTAACAAAGAATTGCATATAAGCAATTAAAGCAGATTAGAAAATTTGAGACAGTATTTTTAACAATTGAATACAAGCAATAAAAATAACATAGCAAGATAAAAAAAAGAGTTAACTACAAATTTACCGCATTAATGTATTGTGTTGTGGAATAGGCAGTAGTCTTGGTCTCCCCTGGGATTATAGTCTTCAGGACGGGGGAGGATACTGCGATGGCACCAGGCCATGCTACGGATCCTCCTGCGGCGCAGCTCGCAATTGCGCACAACAATGTGATTACGAATACCTGGAATGTGTGTAAATAACTTTATTATAATTACGTCTACAATTTAATGCACGTGCGTAATAATTCGAAACAAATACGTACTTATTATTTTTATATAATGCGTAATGACGTGTGACATGATTAATGAATATATCTTTCTTCGTTTTAAAGCATATTTTTTTACCCCCTTTTTTTGTGAGGGGAAAATCATCAAATTACTTCTCCCGCCCAGGGCCGGGCAGGAGGGAGTGTCAGACTCTTACTGACTAAAAACCCCCCTGTTCCTTCTCCTGCTCTGTGCCGAGGTCGCGGTACCTCATTGCGCTAACCCCGCAACCCCGGCTGAACATCAGCCCTTTAGGGCCCCGTCTGTGGTGGTCGAATGGCTCTTTGATGCGCTCGCGGAACGCTACGCGCCTTACGCTCGGGCCTGGTTCTGGTCGGGCGGCGAGCTGCCCTTACTCGCCGACCGCAGGCCCGTGCTTACGGTGGCCGGAGATCGTCACTCGATCCCCGACACCCGTAGTGTCGCCAGTTGCGGCTGCTGGGGCGTGAGGAGGAGGAATGCTCCCTCACGCGGGCTGCCTCTCTCTTTGCGAGTCTTTTACCCCCTAACGGTACAAGCTAACGGGACGTTAAAAAATTGACATTTACGGTGATGGACAAACCATACTGACCTATTTCTCTAGTTTAGCGCCATCTATTGAGATGATATGTTACTATACCTGAACGGTATGCGTTTCATGTGTAGGAAGGTAGGGAAGATAGCGAATTATTGTCACAGCGATCATAAAACTTAAAATAACTAACGAAATATCATTAGGGTCGTTTAACTAACGAACTATCAACAGATTACTCAGGGAGGAGACAGTGGAGCTTTCTGATAAACCTAAATACTTTAAATAGCATGCCGAGCGTAATAATGAAAAAACCTCGAATAAATCAGAAGGCCTATAATCCAGTGCTGTCACTGTTTATTGATTTGCAAAGACAACACAACTATTGTGCTCCGCTTTTTATAAATAAGTGTGGAAGAGTCAAGTTTCAGCACGAATGGGTTGCGTCGACCGGAATGATTCCACGGTCTCACAGAAAACTGACGTGTAACCACGACAGCGCTGTATTTCGCCGAGTGAAGTACATCCTGTACTTCACTCACACTCACAACTTACTCAATCCTTAAATATTCGAAACCCTAATCCCCAAAAGGATGGCAACGCACTCGTAACTCCGTTGCGAGTGTCCATAGGAGGCGTCGAGTGCTTACCACCAGTAGGCCTACCATGACATACCGAGAAAGAGGGATGGAGCTATACACCTTTTATAGCTCCGTCCCTCTTTCATGCCCGGAAGATTGACGCTTTAACACGTCATGGTAGGCCCTCGGGTTATCCGTATGCTCGTTTGCCGACAGTAAAAAAAATATTGAAAGTCCCGTGATACCTATCTCGACGATCGTGACGAAGCATCTATCAAATAAAGAAAAATCGCCTTCAGTTTCGTGATTTCTGACTATTTACGATTCAATTTGGAATAAACATCAATGGTATGATTATGTCTATATTCCATTATAGTACTATTCACATGCAAATGTAACATATGGAATGAGATCGTTCTACATATTGTGGTTTTATGTAAAGAACACAATTACTGAATGTCTCTACTACTTTGTATTCAGGCGTGTGCATTCCGAACTGTTTTTTGCAATCTAATTTAAAAACACGAATCCACTGCAATTTGTAAGTAATTTTATTTAATCTGCGTTATATAATTTTATGAAATAACGTTAATGGATAGTATTTTACTAAAAATTGGGTAGTTTCCTAGGTCAAAAATAAATTAATTCGACGTTTCCATACAATAAAATATTGAAAAATAACTAATAACAATAATACTATTCTATTCATCGATCGATCGATACACAAAATTCTAGATAATTTTTAGCTAATTTTTCAGAAATAAGTAAGCTTTTTGACGCGAAAATACCATGACGTCGTAACTCAGTTTTTCATACAAATTTCATAGAAAAGTATCGTTTTTGACATTTGGATAAAAGTATTGAATTTGACCAGTTGGAAACTACCGTATTGCGTTCCGTAGTTCGCGTACTGTGTCGTGCAATGTTGCTCATGAACATGAATATGAGCCCCTAGCATGACTTGAAAATTGTCGAGATCTTCGTTAATATAGGTGAATAAGTCATTAAACATAGTTATTGATTTAATATGCCTTATAAAACTCCTATTACCACAAAAATAATTTCTCCAAAAAAGCTTTTGCCCCTTTATTTAATTAACGTAATAAAATCAAAATAGGTCTATAATGTTTTTTAAGTGATTGAAATTATTTTTAGGCTATATATGTATGTTAAAAATTATTTACTTTCATATAATAGAGCCTCAAAAAAGTTTTAGTTATCTTATAGCACCATAAATAAGTGTAACTTATGTATAAGCATATTTATCCGTGAATAGCATAAATACTATCCCGAACTCCACAATTCCTGGCCGTCAAACCTTATTTTATTTAGTAAATAGTTATGACTATAATAATTTATGTACACTACAGATAAGCCACAAAGACAATAAATACACTATAAATATTGAGCAATCAACAATCAATTTGATTGAGTACCCTTATCTAAAAGCTTCATATTCGCATATGTTACAAAATTGCTATCACTGAATAAACACATATTCTGACTGGACACGTTGATAATATTCGCAATTTCACGTTAGCACATAAACTACTAAAGTAAATAAACTAATAAAAAACTAGATTTTATACATAATACCGCGTATTTATACGTCATTATAGTTGTCAAAATAACTTTAAAAAACTACAACCCCGAAAGAGCGAAAAAATCGGACTACAAAAATTTAAAAATATATTTCACTAAAATATTCACAGCAAATACTCGTACACAAGCCGGGGCGTAAATATCACTAAATCACTTGTGGTCACTTGATATAGTTATATTTATATATCCAAGGTTATCCACGTACCTTCATATTGGAGGCACAAAAGTGTTCTCTGTAATACGCGATGTGATCTCCTGACGAGCCTTTTATACATTAAGTGGAACCCCGCCCACACCAAAGAAAGTCATATACTAGATACGTCTCGCATTACCGAAGCAATCGAATATAGTTAAAAAAACAACCAATATATCTAATAGCTAGCGAATTTATATGATAAGTGCTGTATCATTTGCATAATACTAGGTATATGTGGATACTGGAAAAACTGAAAAACAAAACCAAAATGAACCTTTATTAATTTGTATAATTATCTTATTACATTAAAATTTATGATATAAACGACACAATACATCACAACACTTTCTAAATTAAAAGATCAAAATCTGTTTGTAAAGTTAAGTTTCAAATCATATATAAATATAGCTTGAGGACCTACATTCATTACATTGTCAAACAAAATAAAATTTTAATAAACTGTAGTAAAAACTGTAGTATAATTAACGTCTAAATTAACTGTAGTAGGTAAATAGTTTGCATTGAGGACTTATTCAGCAAAATGACGACATGATGTATCAATTTAAATCTAATACACAATACGAATCATTTCCATCTCACTAACAACGAATATGTACAGTTTTAAAATACACAAATAAAAGGACTAGTGAGATGGATCTTAACATAAATTAAGGGCACGTTTCACGATATCTGAATAGTCACTATGTATCAAATAAATTTGAACATATACATATATAATATGGCTTATTAGGTACTTATATGAAGGTGATGAAACAGACTAGGAGTATAGGTACCTACTAGTAGGTACCTAAAGAAAACTTATCATACATTTAAAAAAGTTGTTTACGACATGCACGTCCTGTCAATACATCTGACAATATTACTAATATTTTATAATGAGATAAAAAAAATGCTTTTACAAATGGAGAACAATAAAATCTACGGACATAAATACATATATGTGGGTAAGCTTTAGGAAGAATTATTGCAGAGGGTATTTACCCAAACCTAACAAGCGGATCCTGGACCTTAAGCCAGGTGAATAGCACGGTAGCAAGATGTATTTATATTTCATCGAAAAAGATGGAGAAATATTTTTTCTTAATGTGGTCGAAAACAGGCTTAGCGTTTTCCTTATTCATAGGGTGATCAGAATGATTGGGATTCCGCGAGTATAGTTTCCTCAATAATTTTATAAATAGACGCATTATTGTTTCTGACGACAATCCATCATCGTTACCTAAAATAAAATTAAAACAAATATATATGAGTGTCTATAAATCTATCTCTAAATCTTTTTGTGAAGGGAAAATCATCATATAAGTCAGGAGGGAGTGTCAGACTCTTACTGACTAAAAACCTGCTTTGGGCCGAAGGCATGGTGCCTTATTGCGCTTGCTCCGCAACCCCGGCTGCACATCAGCACTATAGGGCCCCGTCCATGGATACTTATTAATCTTAAAACCAATATTTTGTTCGTGACAAAAATATAAAACTAATTTGCAACCTTTATCTACATGTAGGTTTTTTAACATCAAACGACTTCATCCGCCCTGGGTCTACCCACTGCAACCCAATCAATCAATCTCGCAACTTAATTTTGAATCACAAATTATTATCTGTAACAAAAATCCTAGTGTAGGGCAGAGTTATTTTTTTTTTTTGATTCATTTATATTACCATAAGAGGGATACGACTTTAAAAAATTAGTTTGTCTAGTGTCTATACTCATGATTGTTTGGAAAATGTGTTGCTAATTGTTTACATGAGTTCATCTCTGATGCTATGACGGTGAAATAAACATGAACCAACATGAATTGTCAAAAAAATATTGTCGTCAAATATGAGAAAATATCAGGCACAAGAATTCCATACAATTGAAGAGGTTAACAACAATAGGTACCAACACAAATTGTACCCCGTAACGGTATATTTTTTATTAGATTCTGCTCGCGACTTCGTCCGCGTGGAATAGTCAATTCTGGCAGATTTTTTGTTTCGATCGATTTCGATTGTTAGGATCGGGAAGTTCTTATTTTGAATTTCAGGGATAAAAACTATCCTGTGCTTTTTGTTAATAATTTTATTTTAGTTAACAGTTAAATTATTTTATCATTTAGTTTATATAATTGGTATAGTTTTTCTTTTTCCTTTTTTTTTGGTATTTTTTATTTTTATGTGTGTGCGCTTGCGCAGAAATAAATGTTTCTTTCTTTCTTTCTTTCTTTCCTATGTCCTTTCTCGAGTTTCAAACTTTGTATGTACTAAATTTTATCCAAATCGGTTTAGTTCAGTTGTGAAGAGGTGGCAGAGAGACTGCTATAAATACAAAGTACAATATTGTGGCATTTTAGTTTGAGTTAGATGTGATGACGCAACTTTTTAACTACATAACTTTAATGAATCGATTTAAATAAAACAAGTTGCCTTTTGGCTGTAAAGTTTTAAATACAAAATTAATTATACAAAAATTAGTTTTTACGATTTTTGAGATACATCGTGGCGATAGACAGTCGGACAGATGGGTAGCAAAATCGTAGTAATAGACTTCTGTTTTTTCTCAGTAAGTAATAGTACAACAAAATAGTGATATGTTTCGTCAAGAATGGAGCGATACCAGAGCCTCAGAGAAAACCGGCATGAAATAGCCGAGGCCCAATCTCCTCCCCCTCCAATTCAAGATCCCCAAATTCTTCCCCTTAAATGTCTAACTCCTCTAAAGATTAGCAACGCACTTAAAAATCCTCGATGCTCGCTTGGTAGAAGAGCATGCTGCTCGTTTTTTTAAAAAAAAAGAAACTTCACATTGAATAATGTGAAGTATTTCCATTGTCCATTCATACTACCAAGAATGGGTTTTTGTACATAATTATTATATTGCACTACGCACGCATGCAAACAAATGACATCTCAGGTCTGTACCGATTTTTTTTTTTTGACGCGAGACGGAAGAGACTCTTTCCGACTACCCTCTCTCCGGGCCTTCTCCTGCTTCAGGCCGAGGCCGCGACACATTCTTTACGAGTATCACTGCCTTGTAGGTGAAGGATACGACTTCCCAGATCCTTTCGCTCCATACCATTGTCTCGACCGATACGGCCGAACAGGGGTCAGGAAGTGATCGGTGGCGGGACCGATCACTTTCCTGGGCCTTTCCTTTCACCACTGTGTCCTCCAGGTGGTCCTTACAATGACGACACCTAAGTGTTTCCTCCCGCCTGATCCGAAACAGGTACCTACCGAAGCTTCCGTGCCGGTAAGCACCTGCCTCAGGAGGAAAGTAAGAACACCATGGTTTCTCTCTAGCCACTCCTCAAAGAGGCGTCTTACTGTTTGCCAAGCTATCCGATAAAAAACCTTTATTTTTACTATAATACTTATACGTAGGGACACCACCGCTTGGCTAACGGAACAGAATGTCAGTTCTACAGATTTAGGGCACACTTATAAAATTCTATTATATCCATGCTTATCTTATGCAGGCGTTGTGTTTTGCACTGTAAGGTAACCATTTTAAGGTTGAAATTAAAATCTATTCACTTCTCCCACAATGGTTGGGTGAGAGGCAGTTTAAGATTCATACTGACTGAAAACCAGCCTGTGCTTTCTACTCCGAGCCGGGCTGCGGCACATCATTTTGCTGGCTTGCACCTGCAATCCCGGCTAAACATCAACCATACGCAGTAGTGTCCAAAAAGCCCAGCAACTCCCTTCTTAATTTTATGGTGCAGGTAACTATAGGCAGTACAGATTGCTTACCATCAGGTGTCACTGTGCTCGTTGCCCTCCCCTTTACTTCTTATTTTTACATTACATGCTCTACATTTATATGTTATATCGTAATGATTCAAAATTCCATATTACCTCCAGTACCAGATTGCCTTTTATATCGACCTTTAACTATATTTTCAATGAATTTAACGCCATCATGTTGCATTAATGTGTTTATTATGTTGTGGTGAAAAGGAGAGGCCTGAAAATAAAATATATTTTTAAAATAATGTAATACTTAGTAGGTGTGATCCAAGGACCGGGTACGCTGTTATAGCAACAGTTAGCCACTATAGCACAACAGATGGGGCTTAACTGGGCTGATGATGTTAATCCGGGTAAGGTATCGTGGCTTAAGGGAAAGGGACAGAGCGGTTTTTTTGTCAAATAAGAGTCTGACACTCCTTCACGCAGAAGTCAGTTGATAATTTTACTCAAATAAAAACCACTTTAGCTTTGAACAGGGATGTTATTTTGTTACAAGGTTTATTTAACTTGCTATATATGTATTTATGTAGCTATGTTTTTTAAAGTGGAATGTTATAACTAAATTTTGAAGCAAACATCTTTGAAATCTGTGTACACGTTTAGTTACTTCTTTTTAAAAAACAAATTGTTTGAATACCGTCCCCTGCTGGTAGATTTTTTTTTAAATCCAATTATATATTTATTTGACATATTGTGAGACATCATGATTTAGTAAGAATAAAAATAATAATTAAATTAAATTCATAAATGTATAATTCTGCATCACATCACTGAAATATTTCACAAACATACCTTCGTCTTAGGTTCACCAGTTTCTATTGCTGCGGTATTTGTAGGTGCAGCTGACGCAAAATAGCACTGACTGATTAAAAAAAATATCATATAGCACAGTGTAAAAGTATTTAAAACTGACATTTTATTAAATACTGGACGAAAATAAAGACCCTGTCTTTAGTTCTTGTTTTTAATCCACTTGTAAATAAACTATGAATGAGCCATAACTGTGTCTCTGTATTACAAATAATCTTCTAACGCATTCCTTTTTCAAAACAAAGGGACGATTTCAATTGTTTTCTTATTGAATCATCGTTAGATTGAAATTATAATAAGCCTTTATTGCTGAAACTAAACATTAATTATTTATCTAACTTATACTCTAACACATCAGTTGTCCTTATTAGTGATCAGCGTGTCCTGTGACACATAGGCCTCTTCCAGCTTTTTCCACTCATCTCTGTCTCTAGCTTTTCTTGACCAAGTAGTCTCTCCGATTTTTC